ACATGGTCATGCACAGAAGATGGAGGCAAGTCTAGAGGCCAGATATTCACACTACTTGCCCAGGAAGGCAAAGGACAAATACAAACAAAAAAACACATAACACCTCTGATAAAACCGAAATGACAATACAAAACCAGCAAAAAACGCAACATGCGCACAAACAACATGCTCACACGAACACAGAAACACAAACAATTTTCAAAACAAACCACCGCCGCCACCACCGCCACCGCCACCACCGCCACCGCCACCGCCACCGCCACCGACGCCGCCGCCACCACGAGAACGACACCGACGCCTCGATGGCTTGCAAACGAACGCAGCAGCCGCAAATAAGACCACAAACAAACCCGAAACATCGAACAACAACTCCGATGTCGGAGCATTTTAATGCTAATTTGGAGAGCGGGCACGCATGAGACGATGACCCTTCTTCCTCACAGAGGTTAATGCGCTTGGCACTTCCAAGCCAAACTCCAAGCGCGACCACAGCCACAACCACAACCACATCGGCGGGGGCGACGACAGCAGCAGAAGCAGCAGGACAAAAAAAAGGAAAGGGGAAGAAGAGAAAAGAGACGAAGAAACAATCTACAAAGCGTTGACAAACAAGTTGAAATGAATAACAAGCTGAGCGGGCGCGCGAACCACGGTTGGCAAGGTGCGGGCACAGAGCTGGACCGGAGAATGCCAGTAGATTTAAGCAGAGCACAAGAAAACAAACTGTTTTGAATGCATTGAAAGACACATAAACAATACAAATCATGAAGCGGGGTACTGTATTTGCAATCCACCCAGCCAAGCTCATATCCCTGTAGGAGCGGAATAACATTGCTTCTCCGGAAAACACTGGTTTGCCTTCGCATCCCCCCCACAAAGCTAGCCATGTGACAGAACAGCAGACTTATTTCATTGTAAAAAAGTACATGTCAAAACGGTAAGAAAGACCAAGAGTATCAGCGACAAAAACATTGTCAAGCCGAAAACCGATAAATCAGAGTAGGTCTTGATCAACCAAAACTTCATCTTTCTGTTCATATGCGCACTAGATGGCCTCCCTTTCAATGGCGTGTTTTCAGAAGAAGTCAAACACAAGTGAAACAGTCAACCCCTTCCACGTCCCTTGCTGCTGCGTACGTTGGACGAACGCAAGTTGCTGGCTGCTCGGCAAAACACATTGCAAGTGGATCGCTTGTGTGCAACCACGCGTGCACATGTAAGCATACGTTGCGCCCCGCCCCTTCTCAAAGAATAAGGCTTGACGTTGAAAGTGCCAAGGTGGCTGTTCAAATACCCTCCGCGAAAACTACACGAAAAGCCGCAGGCAACATGTCAATCAAACGCGAAGCGGGTTAGCTCGCGGGCCGCACCGGCGTGAGTGTCACCGGATCTGACACTGTGACAGCATCCGCCTCTGTGTTCTTTGCAGCGGCTTTGGTGGGGCCAAACTAAATGACAAATGCAAGCTGGTTGAACTGCGGGCTTGTTACAAAACTCTTTGCTTGGAGCCGAAACAGTTTCCCCCCCCCCCGCAAAAAAGAAAACTCGCCCCAAGAGAACTTCACGGTTTTTACAGCACTTTTTTGTGATTTCCCCCCCTTGTCAGTCACCCCAATTTCGACCCCAATTTTGACCATCTGGCTGTGCATCCACGCATTTCACTACACCTCTATGCGCCTAAAATGTTTTAAGCGCCTTGCGTCGCTTTTGGGTTCGAGGTTCGCAGGGCTAGATCTGGAGTCTTGGGGTTCCTAAAGCGCTCTAAAGCGTTTTCATTCTCATGGGTCTAAGACTGAACCGTCTATCCCAGGAACGAAAGAGTTTCAAGCGCAGAATGTGTGCTTCGAGGCGGTACTCACCTTGTCTGCCTCGAACATGAAGGGTAGCAAGGGGCAGGGCTGCGATTCACCTTGCAGGCCGTGCGTGCGCAAGGAATTGAAGCCAGCCACCTCCGCCGCATGAGAAACAAACCACCTGGTCCGGGTTGGGAAGTGAACAGAACCACCCGCCTATGGCTGCTCTGGTGGAGGTTCTCCTGCAGAAGCGGGTTAGCTGACCAGGCTTTCGCTTCCGCAAGCAGGTTGGACATGTGGGGACAAGGTTGGAAGCCACCCGTTGCAGCAACCCTGAAAGGAAGGTGACCTGCTGTGGAGTTCAGCATCGGGCGTAGCTTTTGATTTTCTCTTGCTGATGTTCACCAGGTACTGGGCCGCAGAGCAAGGAAAAAGAGGAAATCCCCTGCGGCTCGCAGGCCCATTTGTTTCCTCAGCAGCAGAATGAAGTCACCCACGAACACCAAAGTGGTAAGTCACGCGCGTCTGCCTGGCAGCCACCTTACTCCAATAAAACTGGGCAGACGCTACTCCACACGTGCCACCCATGTTGGCCCAAAACTTCTGCTTGATCGTAGCACTCATGTGTTTCCAGTCCTGGGACCGGATCTTGATTCGGCAATGCGCCTTGCTGACGTCCAACTTGAAGAGGGTGAGGTCGTCCCCTCGGAGTTGGCATCTAGCCCATAAAGGATCATGCAAGGTGGGAGGGGTGGTCTTCTTGTTGACGTCGTTGCCCACCTCCAGTGTTTGGGCCATCGCACCCACTCAGAGTTCCTCCGGCACGTCCCAAGGCCCCGCTCTTCGATGAAGGTGCGTTCAATCTCGTCCTCAAAGAGTGCCGCGCTAGCGTAGTTGTCTGCGGCGGTCGGTGCTAAAGACTCCAACTCCAACTCTGCGGCTGTTGTCCCAACTTGGTCTTGGAAGGCCAAATATGGTGGTCCTCCAAAACCGGGCTACCGACTCCAACCGCAAGCAGGCATGAAAGCAGGCGCGAACCGCAACCAAAACTCCGAGAGAAACAAGAGGCGACAGTTTGTCGCGAAACCCCAAGAGCTCAGTTTAATTAGAAAGCTGTGCGTCCGCCTGGGGTTTCAAGGCGGCAAACCGCTCACCCTGGTTTGGATAAAGTACGGGTAACGCCTTGTGGTACCGTTCCTGCGTTTTTGGTTTCACTACCAAGTCTTCGAAAGTGCCTACCCGCTGGCTTTGTTTGACCTATTCTGCCCGCTGCTGCCCTTCTACTCTTTGACCATTTTCTCTTACGCGGCCGCGGGTTCGCCGGTCAGCTGGGTTTTCGGAGGCGTCCACATAGGCAAGAACGGGGTTAATCCAAACGCAAGCAGGTGGGCGCTCAACTCACGCACGACGGATGAAACCAACACGTGACTCACGTAGCTTACTGACGTGATACTGCACGACACGGCGGTTGATGTGTTCGATGTGGGGCCAGACCTCCACCGCCAGCCACATGCCTCCCTCCAGCGCTAAAGGGGCGGGGATGGACGCTCGGTGGTGGGCCAGCAACTGCTTGTTGGACGAAGACAACACTGGGTTGCAGCCCTTGCTGGAAACCACGGTCTTCAGCCTTCTAGCGAGGAATGCCGGTTGAACAAAGGGTTTTTTGCTATCCGTGGCGGACGAAGAAGAAAATCAGGCATCCTCCAGGTTTGGCGCGGGCAACTACATCCTGTAAGCAGCGCAAAACCTTTCACAGTAAGAAGCGGTACCAGAAGGCAAGCCGGAACCTGCACACACCCGCTGTTTCCAACCAAAGACAGACAACTGCGTTCTGCCCGCTGCGTCTTGCTTTTGAACATGATTTCAGAGAGAATGGAGACTCTTGTCCTTCGGGAAGCCCGTGAGGCTAATGAGTAGTAGAAGCCCGTGAGGCTAATGAGTCTTCAGGCGCGCTGCCCTTCAAGACTGGGTGTGGGCGACTACTGCACCACTTTCATCCTCATTTGAGGAGATCCCGGCAACCTCGAGACACCGCGGCTCCTCCTTTTTTGCTCGGGATCCACGTCAGGTTTGACATGCCATGTCCATAGCAGCCAGCACCTCCCTTTGGCTCAATCGCTCCGGACAGCTTTTGCCGGTATTTGAACGTTCTTAATGTGCCCGGAGGTCGCTTGCGCCAAACGACTCGAAAAAAAGTCCACGCAGCCGCGAAAATCCCACGAGTGTACCGTGAAAAAATCCGCAAAAATCCGGAACACGACCAGGACAATCTCTGTCCGTGAATGCGGTCGAGAGCGGTGTGTCCCCGTGAAACAGCCCTGCTGAACAGGAGGAGTGGCCCCCAGAAAGCGCTGCTCTCCGCGCTCTTTTGCTTCCTGCTTTCATGTCCGGGTCCAGGATGGTTCCTTTTACGGACCACCTGGCTTGTTCGGTGAGCAGTCGCCAGCTTTCTTTCGACTGAACTTGGCCTGCGCTTTCTCGTAGCTCTTCTTGACCGTGACATCCTTCTTTGTTATGGGAGCCTCGCACATTCAGCCTTGTTTCCGCGCGGTGGTTCGGACTGGCTGGCTGTGTCAGATTGTTCCCCCAACTTAGGCTGGCCTCTGGGAAGCGCTTGCGCAGCACATCGCTCGCTGTTCTTGAGAGGAGGAGCTTCAAAAAGCATCATGCCTGGTCCGCGGTGTCTTCCAAGATCTCCCCAACCAGCTATGCTGAAAGTCCATTCCCTGTCTTCTCAGGGCAGCTGCCGGCCTCTTGCTCGGGGCCATGGGGATGCACCAGTCACTCTGCCGCTGGTGGTTTGGTTGCACGGTTCTCCTTGTTTCAGAAGGCCGGCTGCGGGTCCCCGAAGCCAGGTGGGGCCCACTCCTCCGGGCTAACTCCACAGACTGCAGGCTTCTGAGTAGGTCTGGTCTGTATGGTAAAGGGTTGAATCAAAAGAGCGGGTTTCGCACCTGTTGCACAATGTGCAGGGAACAAGGCTCGAAGCTACGAGCCGAAAAGGAACAGGACGCTTTCCTATTCCGTCTGGCCAAAGTTCAAAGCAGCAGACCTTGTGGCATGTGATAGAATACGTCGGTCTCCTGAACCCGTTTGAGCGCCCGCATCACATCCCAATGTGGTTTTATCCAGGAGGGGCAGAAGAACAACCTGCAAAAACGCTCTACAGCTCAAAGCACTGCTTCCGAGACTTCGAAGCAAACCATCCTCCACCTCCTTGGCCCACTCAGAGCTCAGCTCTGAGAGCTCCTGACTGGGCTCCCCTGCGCTGCTAACACAAGGGGCCCCCAAGTGGTTGCTTCTATTTCGCAAAACAAACAGGTTCGAGACACGGCCCCTGTACATCTTCGGGGTTCTTGGGCGGCGTCAGCTTTATGTCCCACCCAAGTAGGCAACCAACCGACGGCGTTTAGAACTCTCTTGTTTGTTCTTTGTTCTTTGTTCTTGCGGGCAAGGAACCCCTTTGGATGGCCGTGAAACCAATTTGCGAGCCTCCTTAATTTAACTGGCTGGTGCTAAGAAAACTCCGACAGTGTCTCAGAAAATGACCATCCAGTTTTGGGTCACTTGCTCATCACTGAAAGACAGCCAGTTGCGCCAATTGGTTGCCAAAGCCGAAGCCTCATTAACTAGATGAAGGAACCATGTGGGGGGTCTGGCCATGGCTGTGCAAAATCAGATCTGTCTGCATTCAACAGTATCTTCTATACCCCATCTGTTTCTTCTGTACCTATCTATGGCCATCCATAATTGGATCTATGAATACATCTTACATGAATGTATGCGCACCCACGTCTGCATGGATTACATAATATGTATGCACATAGGTCAACCTATGACTATCGCTATCGAAATCTATCCACACATGCCTGCGCCTGCCTATATATGTGTGTAAACATGTGCATCCGTATATCTAACCCTTTTCGTACAGGTATCCACGTCTACACCTATAAAGCACGCCCAAGCAAGTGCTGGAATCTTCTCGTTTGCCTGGGCCGCAGCTCCAAGCGGTGAGCCGATTTAAAAAGGTTGATCACTTTTGCTTTCGCGGGCCGGTTTCTGGGGTCGCGAGTCAGCGTGCGCCCTGCTGACCGTGGCGGTCGCTGGTGCTGTTGGTGTTTGCGACCCAGCGCCCGCGTGCTTTACACGACGGCCAACGAAGTTGGACTTGCCAAGGGCTGAACAACAAATCGCTACGCGCCCCGTTTCAACCCCTTGCCTGGGCTACAACGCTAGGCAATGAGAAAGGCAGCCCGCCTTGTGTTGTTGGTTGCTAGCACGTCGGGCCACCGCCCTTCAAGTAACACTGTAAGTCCCAAACGAGGCGCGCGGTCCCGGTGCTGTGTTTTGCAGCACAAAGAGCTCCCGGCAACGCCCTGGAACGATCCAGAGACTCCTGAAACGATCCCGGAACTGTGTTTCGCAGTGCAACGGCTGCCGGACACACACCGCAATGATCCCGTCACCATCTTCCACGGCGATAACGGTTTTCGGTGACTCCCACCCTGAACGGGCTCCGGACAAATGGCTTAAGGAGGCCTGTTCATAGTTGGGTCAGCGTTGCTGGCAGGCCGCTTGCTCAAACGGGGGAGGCGCCAAGCTGCGGGAATGCGTGATCAGGCGAAACAGCACCAAACAAGTCAAGTGGTTTGGCTTCAGCCTGGCGCGCCTCAAAACTCAAATGAGAAAGGCCTTGAACGGCATGATATTAGTTGTCTAGCACATCTGCCTTGCATCCCTCTTATTTATGTATATGCATATATATGGTACCTTTACATGGATCTACCTTCACTGGTATCTGGTATGTGCAGTGCTTGGTGCCTTTTTGGGCTTTGGGGAAAGCAGCCAAAAAAGGCGCATTTCCAAAGATAATACCAGGGAATCTTGAATCCAGCCAGATTGGATCTTCCGTCCTATTCCGAAGCTGAGGTTCTCTCAGAAGATGCAGAACAACAGCTCTGTTGGAGCCATTGGCCCAAAAGCGAAAACGTGAAGAAATAAAATGTTGGAGCCGGTGCCCCAAAAGTGAAAAAGTAAAACTGTAAAAAAGAAACAAAAAAGTAAAAACAATTCAGTGAATGGTCAAGGCTGTTTACTTCAGGACCATGGGCTAATTTGCTTTACTGCTTTGCACTTTTTACTTTTCCACTTTTTCTTACTTCATGTACTTTGTACTTTTTGAATATTTCATCTTATGCTTTTCTACTGTCTGCCTTTTATGTTTTTGTATTTTTTAATTGTCTACCTTTTTTGCTGTTAGGTCATTGGCTCCAGATATGTACTTTTCCTTCGATATGTTTTTATTTTTGGGTGTCTGGCTCCAGAAACTTACATTTTTTGCTCTCGGGCCATTGGCTCCAGAACTCTACACTCTTACTCTTGGGCTACTGTGGCTCCACATGTTTTCCCGAAAGCATTGCGAAGGGTTCTTCCGGTAAAGTTGTTGCGTTCTGTGCAGCGCAACTGCGTAGGCAAAAAAAGACAATGAAATGCGTGGAGACACACATAGGGAAAGTAGACAGTGACATGCGTGGGGCGAGTACAGAGTGAAGTGCATAGACGCATGCGCAGGGAAAGTAGACAGTGAAGTGCATAGAGGCATGCGTAGGGCAAGTAGAAAGTGAAGTGCATAGACGCATGCACAGGGAAAGTAGACAGCGAAGTGCATAGAGGCATGCGTAGGGCAAGTAGAAAGTGAAGTGCATAGACGCATGCACAGGGAAAGTAGACAGCGAAGTGCATAGAGGCATGCGTAGGGCAAGTAGAAAGTGAAATGCATAGAAGCATGCGCAGGGAAAGTAGACGGTGAGATGCATAGAGGCTTGCGTAGGGAAAGTGCACAGTGAAATGCGTAGCGATCTTGCATTCTTTCTCGCACGAGCATAACTTGCGCGACGAAACTTGCACGCGTTCTGACAATTAGTATCTTTAGGCGGCGCGGTTGGACCAAGCGCACTCTGCGAAAATGCGACCCTCTCAGGGTTTGGCGCGGTCGATGTGCAAAAGCCGGAGTTGTTGCTTTTTTTGATTCTTGCGTGAAGCGCGCGGCCCTCTGCGGAGATCGGCGTGGTCGAGGCGCAAGAACTGGAGTTGTGTGCGATTCTTGAGGTACGCAAAATCGGCGTGGTCGAGGTGCAAAAACTGTGTTTGTTTTGCGATTCTTGCGGTTCACGCGCGGCCCTCTGCGAAAATCGGCGTGGTCGAGTGCTAAATTTCATAAGGTAAGGTTTTTATTGCTGAGAATGAATAAAAAAGAGTTTTATTTTTGGGGGAGGTGGATGTAGATGGGTGGCATCGAAATCCACACACGCCCCCGCAAGCCCGGCAAGGGAAAAACAGTCCGTAGGCATGCTGTTTTCACACGTACGACATAAGGAAGGGTCTTTCATTGCTGAGAAGGAAAACGCAAATCTTTTTTCAAGGGGAGGTGGATGTGGATGCGTGGCTCCGAAATCCAAGCCCATGGCGAATACGCCTCTGCAAGCCTGGCTAGAGAAAAAAACATCTGGGGGCATGGCGCTTTCACACGTGCAACCTGTGGGGTTACGAAGTTTAAGCGTGTGCTGTGTTTTGCAGGTTTTTCGGCTCAGCTGAATCAGGTTAGGCTTGAAGCCCATTCCAGTTCTCCCCAGCTCCTACTTCAACACACCTGCCAAAGCTGCGCGCGAGAGGGCTTGACTGAGACAGCTCGTCTGGACGCCTTCGCAGATTGATTCTCCAGCTCCATCGCCAGAAGTCAAGCAGAGGCGCACAGACCCCCCACTCAGAAAACCTAGTTCGCTACATTCTGAGACACACGGGTTTTCCGGAACTTTCTTTTCCTGAGACACACGGGCGCGCAGCGTTGGCGAATAAAGTTATTTTCGCACTCGGGCGCGCAGCGTTGGCGAATACAAATGTTTTCGGAAAATCGAGACACATGGGCGCGCAGCGTGGGCGAATAAAGTTCTTTCTTCCGGAACTATATTTTCCTGAGACACGCGGGCGCACAGCATTGGCGAATAAAGTTCTGTTTTCCCGGAACTTTATTTTCCTGAGACACGCAGGCGCACAGCATTGCCGAATAAATGTTGCCGGAACTTGATTTTCCTGAGCAAGCGTTGGCGAGTAAGTTTTTTCCGCAACTGTATGTATCTGAGACACCCGGGAGCGCAGCGTTGGGCAATAAAGCTCTCTTATTCCGGATTTTTTCCTGAGACACACAAGCGCACAGCGTTGGCGAATAGAATTCGTTTTTTTCAGGATTTTTTTTCCCGAGACACACGGGCGCGCAGCGTTGGCGAATAAAGTCCTTTTTTTTCCGGCTTTGTTTTCCTGAGACACACGGGCACACAGCGTTGGCGAATAAGTTCCTTTTTTCCGGAACTTTATTTTCCCGAGACACACGGGCGCGCAGCGTTGGCGAATACAGCCCTTTTTTCCGGAACTTTATTTTCCTGAGACACACGGGCGCACAGCGTTGGCGAATAAAGTTACTTTTCTCCGAAAATTGAATTTCCTGACACACACGGGCGCACAGCGTTGGCGAATAAAGTTTTTTTGCGGAACTTTATTTTCCCGAGACACACGGGCGCACAGCGTAGGCGAATAGAGTTCTTTTTTTCCGGAACTGTATTTTCCTGAGACACACGGGCGCGCAGCGTTGGGCAATAAAGTTGTTTTTTTCCGGAACATTGTTTTTTTCTGAGACACGCTTCCAGTAGCGCAACGCAGGTTTTGACCAGCCCGGAACAATAATTTTGTGGCCCAGCTTGCGCGGGGAAAGAAAAAACCGAAGAACAAAATAAAACTCCAAAAGCAAAAATAAAAATACAAAAAAACAATAAAGTTCCCGACAAAAAGAGCTTTATTTTTAGCCCCCTTTTTGCATGGTATATAAAAAGCAATAACACCCTAAAATCAAGCCAAAACACAAAGTGTGTACCGCGCGAACAGCGGTTGGCATGGTACAGCTTTCTGAATTTCAGCCTGTTTTAAATTGTTTATTGCTTTTTTTATACCATGCGAAAAGGGACTAAAAAATAAAGCTCTTTTGTTCGGGAGCTTTATTTTTGTTCGGAAATCTAGTCTTGCTTTCTGAATTTGATTTTGCTCTTTGGTTTTTTCTGCCCCGCGCAAGCTGGGCCACGAAAATGTTGCTCCAGTCTGGTCAAAGCCTGTGTTGCGCTACTGGAGGCGTGCCCGCGTGTCTCAGAAAAACAAATTTCCGGACAAAACAAACTTTATCCGCCAACGCTGCGCGCCCGTGT